GCATGAAAGAAAGCCGAGCGAGAACGTCGGCAGGAGCTGGACTTCTAAAACCCCCTTCCGCCCCCATCGGCTTCAATATTAAAAAACCCCCTAGGAGCCTCAGACACTGTATTAATTAGTGCAACCACCCATGAAAAGTTGGGTTTGGAGCGGCATTCTTTGCCCTGTGTGAAAAACCAAGTCTAATAAACAATTGTTAAGTTGGCCTGTTGCCGCTGGTAAATTACATAGCATTAAAAAAATAATGCTTTTCATATTAGGCACTAATTAAAGGTTGGGACAGCTTTAAACAAGAGAGGGAGGGGGGAAATCAAAGAAAATATAAAAATGTTCTTTCAAGAGTTATGGGAGGTTAATAAAGTATGTCTGTTAGAGTGAGCCTACTTTGCCCCTAGCTACAGCCAAACTGGAGCCACCACAATTGGGTCTCAATAAGATAATGATATTCCTTTCTCTGCTATTAAAAGCCTCCCAGTGCAAACTTAAAATGATTTATTTAATTTAGGAAATTATGAGGTGTAACTTCAAAGCCCGAGCCGTTAGTAATGGAAAATACCAGGTTGTTTAAAATTATAATAATAATTGTTTGGAGGACTCAGGACATCAAAGTGTTTTCATCAACAAATGCAGAGGGGTCCGGAGGAGGTTGGAAGGAGTCAGAGGAGGTGGATGGAGTTTGGATTTGATTATTTCAAACCTTATCAGGGCAGACTTCAGGATTCCCAAAGCCTGGTTCTCAGCTCTGCTTTGAAGCAGACCAGTTTGGAAAGTAACTTTACTGCTTTTTATTTAGTTCTTAGGAGGGAGGAGGTGAGAGATGTTGCTGGAAGTGGAAGAGGGGATCTGAGGGGTCCAGGACATGACAGACACTTTCCCCCACTGCTTGGTCCACTTTATTTCGTTAGAGAGGCCTAGAGCATCTCCAGTCTCGAAAGGGGGTGGAGGGAAGCATTTATGCTTATATTGAGGGTAGAAGCAGGCACAAGAAACTTCATCAAGCAGTCCCTGTGATTTCAAGGAGGGGGTTTGTGACGTGGGCTCTTTTATAAATGAAGTTTATGCTATTCCAAAGCCAGCAGTGGAGAGGGAGTGGGGGTAGGGGGATGCCCTCTCCAACCCGTGGCAAATGAGAGGCTTTTATAGCAAAGAATGGCCGTGGGAGTTTTCATTCGGGCAGACAAGGTTCTGCTCAAAGACAGGGAACCTCTTTTCAGTCGGGTCAGGCAGACGTTTCCACAGCGCCTTCTCTCCGCCAGGCCCTGTTACCTACCTCCTGCTGGCCTTGCCAGGCTTTGCCAAGGCAGGGCACTGGAGATTCAGTTTGTGGCTCAGGTTCATGTGATGAAAAGCTGGGGTCCTCTCCTGGGAGCCCACTCATAGCAGTGGGCAGTGTAAGGGCATCTGGAGAGAGGCTCTGGATCTGGGATTCTCAAGGCCCAGGGCTCTGGAGGACTCTGAGAACCCTACATCCTTTCTGGAACAACTCGCTCCTCCTCCAGGACCTGCTTTTGGCAAAGCTGATTGCCACCTCCTCAGCTAACTGGAGATGCCTGCCATTGCCACTTAAGCTTGTGACCCTAAGTGAGCCACTTTCTTCAGCTTGAATTCACCCAACTACAAAATAACATTATCTCCATTCTCATTACTATGCCTGATGACTACATGAGACTAAGTAAGAGAAAATGCCTCCTTCTGCACCTGGTACTCCATAAATGTGATTTTCCTTCATGTCTCCTGCTCTTTTCTAAAAACAGAACCGTCTGTCTGGAAAGTCTTGGAGGAGTGTGCTAAAAGGATGGGGTGATTTTTGTACAAGGTTTTGGCAGCCTTTCTGAGGATGTCCCAAGCTCACACCAGGGTACTATGCGCTTTAATAAGTGAAGTGCAGCTGGCTTTTGAAACGTGCAAGTCAAACTTGGGACCCCGACCTCGGCGACGGAGAACAAAACCCAAGACCAGGGGTACGCTAGGAATTCTTGGCCCTGGGCTTTGGTGGCTTTATGGAAAGAGATTAGCTGCCAACCCAAAGGCAGGTGGTTCAAATACACCAGCAGATCCGCGGGAGGAGGATGGGCAGCCGCAGTGCGATTTACTGCCTCTGAAAACTCGCTGGAGCTATGAAAGGGTTCCCACAAACAAACAAAAAAACCAACCAAAAAAACCCCTGGAGCAAGGCAGACCGCCAGGCTCCATGGACCCCTAACTCTAGTTAGGACTCGGACAATATGCCCATGGCTCTGCTTTCACCTGTAGCACTGGGGTGAATGTTTCAAGTCCCACTCTTGAAGTTCTCCTACTTCAAATACCATACAAGGAGCTGAGAGTTAGCACTTTTGCAATGGAGGGAGACCACCTAACAGATTCAAATGCACCCCTCTGGCTCTGTGAGACTCAGTGCCCACGTCTCTGCATTTCCCTACTGGGTGGAGATCGCGTGTCTTCAGGGTCCAAGCCGCGCCGGGAAGCTAGCTCGGTGGATGCGCTAATTAGGGACCCAGCTTGGCAGCTGGTGACTAGACAGAGAAGGGCTTTGGCCTTTGGAAAACGCATCCCTCCAATAAGTAGGCCTAGATTCTGCTGAGATCAAGAGTTTTGGGCTTTGGGGATACCGCGGGAAAGCGGAGTTGCGCTTTTGGGTTGATCTGAGGGCTCTTCGGAGAGAGAGCAGCCTTGCGCGCGAGGACTCCACTCTCTAGAGCAGGCTCCTAGGCTTAGGTTATTTGCTGCTCTCTAGGTGAGAGTCCTAAGACAAGTCTGGGGCCTTGGGAACTCGTGTCAGACCTCCGACCTCCTTCCCAAGAGGGTATGGACACAAAGGAAACAAGAAGTCCTACTGCCAGTCCTGAGAAAGAGCCAGGTTTCGTGTGACAGGCAGCTCCTTTGCAGTTTTCTATCCCTTCTGCCTCAGTTCCCAGTCAACTGGACTTCTCATCGGAAAATACTTCAGAAAGGTGCGCTGGAAACACTTTTAGGAGACTCTACATGCATTCCCACCTTTATTTTAGTGCTGATGCTTCAAACCCCAAGCCTGACCCTGAAGTCCTGTCTCCAGGGAAAAGGCCGACTAGGTACTAAAAGGGCAACATGAAAGAATCATGTCCCCACTTCAGGGCAAAAGAATTTGTTCAGGCTCATCTCCTTGAGAGGAGATAGGAATGATAAAGGAAAGATTTGACACACTCCGGAAAGGGCAGCTGGCCTACTCAATGAATGCCTTAGACACCATCTTTTTGCAAAAAGCTATTGGTCCCCTTTCCTTGACTTTAAATTTGTTTTGCATTGTTCGGGTTTGTTAAGTGGGAGATCTCAAGTTCAAGATTTCCCCCTTGATCATCTGCAAACTACTCAGATCTGTATGATCCCTTTGCCTCACCATTTTTTTTCAACACTTATTCTAAACTCATCTTTCATCAGTTTTGCAAAACTTCTAATAGTAATGCCACTTTTTTTTTTTTTAGTAACATAACACAAGCTACTGGAGGAAGTATTCCAAAGTGTTTCCAGTATTTTCAATTGACTCCCTCCCCTCCACTGAATAGCCTGAATCTGGCTACAACTCGATTCATTCACATTAAAATAAAAATACCAGCCCATCCATTTGAGTGGCATTTTTGTACTAAGCTCAGCTAAGAGCAGAAGAGCACCTCATAAAATAATTGTGTTTGGACAAACTTCAATGCCATAGAACAAATGTTTAATTTAATTCAGAGTAAGAGATATGAAATAATTCAATAAAACAAAAAAATTATACAAGGCACTCTTGTATGCAAATACACTGGGGCAGCTAGAGGGGACTGGGGGCTTGAGCAAAGTGGATAGAGGTGAAATACCAAAGAGCTAAGCAAGCTGTTTGACAACATCAATTTTTAGCAAGTCAAAACATGGCTTTACCTTCTGCCCTCAACATGTTAAAAGGTACATAAATTTTTCTAAAAAAATTTAGCACTTATTACTGATACATACACACAGAGAAAGCAGGTTTTCTCCTCTGAATCTATCAAGTGTCTAATAACTTCGAGTCAATGGTTACAAGAAATCATTCTTTTTAAAAGAATTGAATCATTCCATACTCTCTACTGTGTGTGGGGAGGGGGAATTCATCTTTATCATGTGTATTTTGCAGTAGCCCTTACAGTTCTCCCAGATGCTCTTAAACTTTTCACTTTCCAATTATCTGAAATGGAGCTAAGCAACAGCCTTGAAAGGGAATTGGAAAGTACTCCCATTTTCCTCCTTCCAGCTGGAATTTTCAGGATTCTACCCCATTTATTGAGTTTTTAAAAACTCCAACAAAACAAAGTATCTTTAACAGTATGGTGAAAGAAGGTGGAAGTGGACCAAACAGACATTTCTATGCATCTAGAAAATGCAAAAATGTGAAATGCCTCCTTCACTTAGAGGACTCTTGATCCCTATCTACTTTCTATGTGTATTGTATCTAATGTTGGCTTTCCATAAGAAGTCAATAATCTCATAAAGTGTCAGCAAGTTTACAAACTCATTTAGGTAAATAATTTTCCCCTTCTTAAAAAAAAACAAAAAACACACCGAAAAAAACCCAACACATGTAACAACA